CCTGATATTCCCCCAAAAATGTCTGACCCCAAATCCAAAAGCCAGACATCAGAGATCATCAGTGACACCAGTTTGGAACGACTGCTTCAAAGCTAGACGCTGCAGCAGGTTGAGAATTCTCCGCAGCATCTTCCGTGATATCTTCGGCCTCATCGCTTACCTCATCTGCGTCATCTTCGTCATCGTCCTGGCCCATGGATCAATGCACTGTGGCTACGAAGAACAAGGACGATAAGCTAACATTAGCAACTAGTTATTGACATATCTAAGCTACTCGATTTATGTAAATAAAATGAAATAACACATAATACTATTCTATTCTATACTATACACTATACACTATATACTATATACTATATACTGAATACTATACACTATACGCTATACGCTATACACTATACACTATACACTATACACTGTACACTATACACTATATACTATATACTATATTCTATACATAGTATACTATACACTATAGACTATATATTATGTGCTATATTCTATATACTATGTACTATACTATATACTATACTATACTATACTATACGTAGTGTAATATATTTTCTTGAAATAATTTAATATAATTTAATATGATATAATATAACATAATATTATATCATATTATGTTATATTATCTTATATTATGTTGTAATTTGTATAGAATAATTTACTATATTATATAGTATAGTTTATTATATTATATAGTAGTATAATATAAAACATAAACTAATATAACATAACCTCCAGTAAATTAACATAGACCCTGGCAGACAGGGGTTGAAAGACTAGTTTCCACTAAAAATTGGCTGTTTTCACGGTCTATGTTAATTTACCAGCGGGTAATATAATATAGTATAATATAGCACATAACATGACATGACATAACAGGACATAATATAATATAACATAATATAATATAATATGATATGACCTGATATGATATTATATGATATATATATATAATGTGATATAGATTGATATCATTTGATATAATGTGATATAATTTGATATAATATAATATAATTTGATATAATTTGACATTAATATTGCTATTAATATTAATAGAATAGAATAGTATGACTGGACTAGAATAGAAGAGAATAGAATAGAATGCATGTGTATATATATATATATAGACACACACTATATCGTTTTAGATAGACAGACAGAGACAGACAGAGACAGACAGAGACAGACAGAGACAGACAGAGACAGACAGAGACAGACAGAGACAGACAGAGACAGACAGAGACAGACAGAGAGAGACAGACAGACAGTTCAATATTTATCCTACATACATTACCGTTACGTTACGTTACGTTACGTTACATTACATTACATACATACATACACAATCATATACACAATCATATACACAATCATATACACAATCATATACACAATCATATACACAATCATATACACAATCATATACACAATCATATACACAATATATACACAATCATATACACAATCATATATACATATATCATCAAAAAAAAACATCATATATCTATATTAGATACAGCGAGAGCGAGAGAGGGGGAGAGGGAGATTAATTTATTTCCTACCCTTGCAATGTCAGTGCCGCTCACGCCCTGCCATTCAATTTCGTTTACGTTCCATTGTGAATTCCCCTGCTGTCAAGGGTGCGATGTAAAGGGGGCCACGGTCGACTCGCTGTAGTTCAATGTGTGGAGCCTTCTGCGATTTGCAGCATTCTTGCGCAACACAAAATTGATGGCGCGAAAAGATTGCAGGTTGGATTCCTGAATGTGTTTTTTTTTCAAACTATTGCCAACATGATTCAACATGCCACAACTGGGTGCATCATGGCCAGGCCAGGATATATCGAGGAGCCACACTTCAAGAGGGTTGCATCTGACGCTGCGGACACCAGAGAACGCCCGGCCAAAAACACTGAACCTTCCGCCAAAGGCGCCCCCTTGTGCTCCCCTAGGTCCCCTCGAAGAATTGCCGGCCCCATTGTCAAGAGCTGCAGGTTGCTACTGTAAAGGTGAGGCTGAACCCTTAAGACGCCAATGAATCGCATGTGTCTGTCCTCAAGTGACTTCTGGTCATTCAAAAAATCGCTCACTGCTTGCCTCGATCCAGAGTTGTTCAGAGGCAGAGAGGTGCTATCAACAAAGAGATACTGTATGCTGTCCGAGTACCAGCTGGGTCAAGTGGGGAAGTGCTATGGTCACCCATCCCACAACGGGACTCTATCGGCCAGTGTAATCCCACTGGCGGTTTGACCATTGACTGGAACATTTCTTCCAAGTTGCTCGTAGCACCGTGCTAGTTCCGCTTCATCAGCTCCATCTGCCTGATGATTTGCACCTGCTAACGGGAACGGTTCAGTGGAGTCAGACAGAATTTACATAGTCAGAACACATTGACTATGAAATTTTGAATTGTGATATTCAGCACACATTTACACAATCAGCACCTTGCTGTCTTTTGTGCAATTTTTGAACAAGTGCAGCTTTCTTCACTTCGGAGCTCTGCATCGTTTCAGAGAGCGCTAACCCATTGACAGAAACAAGCCATTTGGGCAGTAGCATATATCGCATATATCGTGAAGAACTAAACTTCGCATAGGCCAAGGCCCGAGAATTTTTTCAGTGCTATCGTCATTTGGGTGAGTCAAACGTCAAAGATTCTGGCAGCCTACGGAGTCAGCTCCATGGGATGCTTCCGGCTTCAGGGCTGGACGCAAGCCGGAGCCCATTGCGGCCTGGGCAGGCTATGGATACAAGATATATCATATATAATATAGTTATGGTTATCAGTTATACATATAGCTATATCAGATGTGTGCAAATATCTTGTGTGCAAATATCTGTGTGTACATATCAATCATAATTATCTTATCATATCTTATCATATCTTATCATATCTTATCATATCTTATCATATCTTATCATATCTTATCTATATATATATATTATATGTGTGTCTGTGTGTGTGTGCGTGTATAATGTACGGTTCTGTCATTTTAATTCGCATTCATTTCTTGATCTCGTGCTTCGGACAGGCCAGAACGCACCAGCCTCATGCATCTGTTGCATCTGTTGCAGCTGCTGCAGCTGCTGCTGCTGCTGCTGTTGCTGCTGCTGTTGCATCTGCAGTTGCAGCAGTTGCTGCTGCATCTGCTGCTGTTGCGGCTGCATTTGTTTCTGCTGCTGCATAAGAAAGTTCTGTAGCAGTGCCATCTCAAAATCTGAAGCTGCCGATGGGTTAGGCTGTTCTGGTAGCTGCCCAACCTGGGAAAGCCAGGTTGATCTCTGGTGGTCTCAAACTACCAGATGAACGTCAACTGGGATGATCATCCCAAGAGAAAGAAAACGATAATAATCTGGTTGGTGCTGTCAACCCCTCTGAAAACTATTAGGCAGTTGGGATTATATTATTGCCAATATATGGCAAAATAAAACATGTTCCAAACCACCAACCAATGGAAACCACCGTTACCAAATCAAACCATAAGATGCTGACATGTTCAGAACTCTGCCCAACTTCCAACGATGGCGCATAGCCTTCCTGCGCAATGAAGATCTTTCAACTGCTTGGAGAGATGCCTTTAGACATGAGATGCATAGAGTATAGCTTATATCAACTATACTCATGAAACCTTAGAGAACCCCAAAATCCCATCGTTTTGGAAGAAATCTCCGGCCCTTTTTTTTGGACAAAATGACAGATGACACGAGATGACGCTCCTGCTGCTCCTGCCAGCGTTGCGCCATCAATTCAACATTGTAATAGTGCCTGGCTGCATCCAGCCCTTGATTCAAATGGCCAGCTGGATTGTTGAAATGGTGTTGGTCCCACATTTCTGATTTCAATGGTATGATGATTTTTGCATATTTTTGCCGTTGGATCTGGTGGTAGCCTGTTCCCAGAAAACCTGAATAAAGAATTAGCAATCTGCCAAATCGATCCAAATCGCTGAAAGCCAAAGCAACTCTGGCGTCTCTTCGGGTACGCATCAAATTGTGCCAATTTGAATAATCCAATCAAAGGGGATGCTGCGATGACAGTCGCGGTTCGCTCTGTGATCGTAGTCGGGTTCACTGGGATCAAACCAGATGACCTGTGATGGATATGTGATGGATATACCTCTTATTTTATCGACTGGAGAACCAAGCCATATTATCATTATTATATATATATATATTATTGTCCCATATTGCCATGAAAAAAATCTTTAGTTTACAGGGATCATCACTGATTTTTGGAGTCCTCCCGAGCCCACCTGACAGCATAGTCCTGAGGATTCCACATGATTCAAAGGTCACACTGGGCTGGCTTTGCTGGTGAATCGCGAATCGTGAAAAACTCTGTGACGCGTCGGTCAAGTGTCGAAGTTAGTCTATTAGTGAACTTCGACCAATTTTTTTGGGGTACTTGGGGGATTCTACTTGCAACACTTCCAAAAGGAATGTGTTCTGTGTTGAAGTTCCGATTCTTGTCTCAACTGCAAGATGTTCTGCTTCCAGCTGCGAAGACTGCCCAACCCTTGCTCGAACAGAGCACAGTCGATTCAACCGCCACTTCGGCTTGAGCCAGCAGAAACGGCAGAAAGCCAACAGGCATCCTGTCATATCGTGTCATTGCAAAGATTAAAGGTAACTAAGGTATACTAAGGTCAGCTCTATTTAACCTCTATATTTAACCACCCTGTTGACTTTGGTGTCTTTATCTTTCAACGTGGTGGGTGTATATTATATATTTCCAACTACGAACGTACCACCCCAAGTTTTAGGGATGTTCAGCACTCACCCGGCGAGCCATCCACAACGCCTGGAGAGTTTTCTCATAGAGACTGTCCTGAAGAATGGATGTGCCGCCAAAATGGTGATAATATGGTGATATAGTCATATAATATCACATATACTATGAGAATATATCAGCTTTTATATATATATATATTTGTTACCTTTTCCTCATGAAAATAATCCTTGAAAAAGATTGTTACTTAGACACACCCATAATTACAGTACAGCTTGCTGAAAATTCACAACCGAACTCATCGACTCCTCATCGGACTGCCCATCTGCAGCCATGGCATGGCGCATCACTAGCACCATCCAAATTTGCGGCTCGACCTGACGGATGGATCAGATGGATGGAGCACGACAAGCGTCCGAGTTTCCAGTGGACCAAGAAACAGGTTGTATTAGTTGATGATAACTGTTGGGTGTCCCCGGTATCCCATGACATTGCAGTTTCTATCCCGTCGATTCGTGTCGATTCCACATTTGGCGACTAAAAAATAGCAATCACCAGGCCACTGTGGAGTCCAGTGCCTCCATGACACTAAAGGCCAGCTGTTTCGTGCGGATGTGTCGCAGAGGGCCGCCTAAACAAGGACAAATCCAAACCAACCCTTCACAACGGAAACGGCGGGAATCAGGAAGTTAGGATGGATCTAAATCTGAAAATCTGAAAGTCAACATTCTTAGATTCTTGCTGGTCTCTGAGAGATATATTTTTACTGATATATATATATATATGTATATCTATGATATGATATGTGTGGGGCCGGGTTCTAACCGTTTCTAGTCCGATTATGGTGATTTATGAACAACATGGATGTTGTTGAAATAGGTCGAAATCTCTGACATGTCCCCGTCCAAAATCTACCAACCATTGCGGTCTGAATCATGCTGTGTTTGCTTGCCAGAAAAGGTCAACAGGAAAAGAACAGAATCTGTTTGCACTCAGGATCAGAAAAGCAATAAACATGTTAAAAGTGGCTAGCAGTATACACCACTGGAAATTTGAAAAATATTATTATCTGGTTACATAGTATTATAATATAATAAGATATAATATATATATATATATATATTATCTGGTTATTATAGTAGAATCACATCCGGTTATATAGTATTTACCATCTGGTTATTTAACATAGCCATGGAAAATCACCATTTTTAATAGGTAAACCATCTATAAATGGGCCATTTTCCATGGCTATGTTAAATAAACAGAGGGTATATCGTTGGTAAGTTCTCAATTCTCCACCAGCCTTCACCGCTGAACATCGATGTGAAGGAAATGAGGCCCTCAATCATGCCCACCTTCAATTTGAGGCGTCAAAACCCATAGAAAATCCCCCAGGTTATATAATGGTTAATAATGGTTAATAATGGTTAATATGGTTAATAATGGCAAAATATCTCACATAGCTATAGAACAGCTATAGGCTATAGATATCTATAGATCTTCATCTCTTAACAGCAAAGTCATGCAAAGTCTGTTTAAAACAGTCACAGAAGTCTGTTTCATGAAATACGGACATCCAAGGTCGGTTCGAAAAATTGGAGGATCTAAGAAAAGAAAACATCGGGGAGACGACTTAACTTCTGAAATGTGTTCCCCGAGAAGCTCTCTGCATGTTTCTACATCATGCATTTTTTTTAAATAGCGATGTGGAAAAGTCCTCCATGCTGAAATCCTTGCCCGAAATCTCATTTATTTCCATGCAAATGCAAATGTTTCAAATCATGCGTGTTCTTTTCCAGACAAGCGAAGAATGGATAGTGCGCACCTGAGATCGCTTCTCCTCGATGGGTGCGCAAGAAGGCGAATAGTATATGATCTTTGCATCCTGCGGCTGGGCGAAAACATGGCCTTGTCCACCCTTGACCACTTTTTGTTTTTTGTCCTAATTTCAGGTCTAAACTCGTAAACTGGTGAACACATACCAAAATCATCCAAAAATCTCAGGTTCTTGGGATGTGTGTTTTTTGACCCATAGGCAAAACCCCGCCGTGACCTCACAAACATCTTCAAACGGTCCTGGAGTTCCTCCTCACTTGGTTTCGGTGTCTCAGGTACCTGCATATGTCGCAACGTTGATGATCTGTCCGCGCAGCGCTCTCCGGACTGAGTGAACTAACTTCATAAATGTCCTCCACATTCACTTCTTGCTGAACCAAAGAGAAGGGGAACTCAGTCTGGGGATTTCCTAAAATAGGGTTACCACGGTTACCCCTTACCCATAAATCATCCATTTTCATAAGATTTGATTTGTCCATTATAAACCATTCAGCTATTGGGGTACCCTCCTTTCTATGTGTGTCGTCGTTGACCCAGTTTCGCAGCGCACCAGAGATGGGTTGAAGATGAAGAACGCGGCTCTTGACCTTGGCTCACCAGGTGTTGGCGTCGACAGGGAAGGGCATGGATTGGAGGTCCCCCCAGAAACTGTGGTTCTTCCTGCGTGTGGGAATGGAACAGAATGAAGCCACGTATTTAAGGAACACTCTACACAGGGGCTGCCAAAAACAAAAAATATAGATGGGGATGGGATAAGAACATACCCTAAAAAATGGGGCTACCCCAAAATTGATCGTTTAGAATGGAAAATCCCACAAAAAAAGGAATGATGTAGGGGTACCTCCGTTTTAAGAAACCTCCATAACTAGATCAGAACCATGGTTCATACCAGGACGGCTACTGTACGGGCTTCGAGGTCCACACACTTTGGCGGTGGCTGACATGAGAGCACCTGGTGTGCCTCGCAGGTCTCAAACACTTGACCGGTGATAGTGCGAAAAACATAGCCGTTAATAGATAATATGTGATAATATGTGTATGTATGGAGAGAGAGAGAGAGAGAAAGAGAGAGTGTGTGTGTGTGTGTATATACATATATATATATATTATATATGTAAATGTATGTAAATATATATATATATATCAAATGTAAGCAAATATACAGTACTTGTATTGTGTATGCTTCGCGGTATGCTTAATATGGTCAAACATGGGCATCCCATGTCGATGTACCAACGGTCGACCCGACTCGCTTTTTGTCGCCTCTCGGACCGATCGGTCGCAGGAGGCTCAAGACCTGCGTTTTTTGGAAATGGGGCATAGCCTGCTTAGCCTGGCCCCTTGAATGGGAAAATGATGGGAAAATGTTGTTCTAAGCCATAGGACTCGGTTTCCAATTTGGTTTCAGTGTGGCCGACTGCTTTGTCAAAAGCGGAACCTCCACTCATGGCGGCGTCCGCGCAAGACTTGTGGATGCTGTCTAGAAAAACGTGGTGTGCTGCGTGGAAACCCGGGTCTCCAACTTTTAAGTGACTCTCTTGGTTTATTCTTGTTTATTCTAGAGTTATCCCATAGTCATGATCATCCCACTATTCTCACATATCTCACATATCACCCTCTGGTGAACTAACATAGCAATGGAAAATGGCCATTTATAGTGGATTTTCCCATGAAAAATGGTGATTTTCCATTGCTATGTTAGTTCACCAGAGGGTAACCCATATCATCCCATGAATATCCTAATATGTTGTGAATGTTCTCTCTCGCCATTGATCCTCCAAAAGCAACAATCCAATCTGTCTCTCCACAAACGTGTTTCCCAGCTGAAATGCAACCCGTGCAACACGAAAACACCATGTGTGCCACGGTCAAAACATCCTATATGCTTTATGCTCATCCATCCCGTCATGGGAATCCAAACATAATGGGTGTGTATATATATATACACACTTTTTATCATATCCCTGTTCATACATATACATATTATGTGTGTATATATATAATATATATATACACCATTGTATTCATGGGTTGATCAACATATCCCAACTTGACCGTGGCACATGTTTTCCTCGTCTTTTTTTGTGACCGGATGAGTGCTGCTGGCTCAGCTAGTCAGCTAGTCCTCTGCTCTGGCGGATCCACAGGGAGCAGGCGTTTCTGTTGGGCATCCAATGATCTATCGAATCTATCACGCGCCCCATTCACATGACAATTTGGAGGATACCCTCTGAGTATGTTTGGACAAAGCCATTTTCAAGCATATGTCTGGCCGTCGTTTGCAAATTCTGTTCGACTTGGTCAATCTACTTGATGCAATACATCACAAGTTTTCAGCACAGCCTTCTCCTTCTGGGCGATTCGAGAATTGATTGATTCTGCATCTCTGAAGTCTCGCATAAAACAAGTGTGATGAATCTTGGTATGAAGACGTGAATCTTGGTATCATGTTTTGAGCACCAGTCTCTTGCAAGCTCAAACTGTAGTCGTCAAGTTGTTCAAAAGGACCGACAACCTGGGAGAGCAGGCAACCAAGAGGCCGTCAAACCATTGAATGACACCGCATTATTCAACATTTTGTTCTAAGGATTTGTATGTAAAAACACGGATACAAAGGTATGTGTTTAAAGAGATGAGATGATGATATTAAATCACTTCTACGGCGAGCAAAAAACTATGCAGGTACATACTGCAAGTGTCCTGTGTTGACCAGCAAGTATTGAGGTTGATATAATTTCTATCTCATGTATAAGATGTGCGTCCGGCATGTAAGCACGCAACGATATCACTATATCATCTGCAATCTGCAGCACGTGTAATGTCATCTGGCTTTTCTATTGATAGAACTTGCCACAGATTCTCCATGGTTTGTAATTACACTTTATATCACTTTATGTTGATTATTCATGCTATGTTCTTCAAGTAATTCGTAGCCGTCGTAGCCGTGGTAGCCATCTGCAAAGCAGTGCAAAGACACAAGTCTGGGTCCTTTGCTGGAAAAAGCCACCTGGTCATTCTTGATTCCTGGCATCATTGCTGATATTTCTGCAACAGTGAATGAGTCAAAGCAAAGGGTGATGCAACAAAAGGTTGTTGTAAGCGGGCCAGGCGTACTTCCAATTTCGCAGAAGCTTCATGATGTATGCAGTCCTCAGTAGGGTCTAGAAAGACTTTGTACTGCATACTCCCAAATAGTTTCAGCATCCTTTCAGGGCATGTTTCACTTTCCCAACGCCAAAGTTCAGCAATTCTGCTCGTTTCACAACGCCAAGGTGCCAGTTGTTGATACTGCTCCTCTCCTCCTTGCGCCATGGAAACGGGTCAAGGCATGGATTCCTAGATCCTTCAGAATTCATCCGCAACATCTGGTTCAAGCACTGATGGATATATGAGAGTAGCCTTTCGAAAGTCTGTTTCTCTTACAAGGTCAGATGCCAAAGTGACAATCAACAAATAGTTTCCGTGAACATATTCACTCTAGATTCCCTAAGTAGTGGATTTCCCAAATTCCCAATGATTCCCCAATAAGAAAATAACATCTTTAGCAACTCCAGGACTGCATGGATCAGTGGCCACGATCTCCTTCTTGCTAAGCCACTCGTGCAGCATGTCGAAGCATTCTTCGAGTCCATCCGCACCCTGTTGATCCTGGCCCAACCCAGTTTTGGAAAGCACTAGCGGGAGTGTCATCCAAAATACCATGGACAATCTATATCAACCAGATATTTCGCATGAAATTGTCATGAATCTTTTTTTCCACAAGAAACCAACCAGGTCATTTGGTCATTTTCAATGCCACATCTTGCGCAAGATACCCATTTTTCCACCATTTTTCTGGGTTTTTTCCCACCAACGCCACAGGGCTCAACCGCTACCTGCACATCCTGCAGGAAGCCTCTTACTCGTCCATCAAAGTCCTCGAGCCCAGCAACTGATCCAGCTCCCTTAACAAGAGCCAGCAGCCATATACTGCCATATACCATATATATATATATAGTGTATATATATATATAGATATATAGTGTGTGTACATATATATAAGTGTATATAGTGTATATATATATATAGTGTATACATATACATATATAGTGTATATAGTGTATATATATATAGTGTATATATAGTGTATATATATAGTGTGTATATATATATATATAGTGTATATATATATAGTGTGTATATATATATATATAGTGTGTATATATATACATATAGTGTGTATATATATATAGTGTATATATATATATAGTGTGTATATATATATATATATAGTGTGTATAAATATATAGTGTATATATATATAGTGTGTATATATATAGTGTATATATATAGTGTATATATATATATAGTGTGTATATATATATATATAGTGTATATACATATAGTGTGTATATATATATATAGAGAGAGAGTGTGTATATATAGTGTATATATAGTGTATATGTATAGCAAGTGTATGTATGTATATATATATATAGAGTGTATATATATAGTGTGTATATATAGTGTATATATATATATATGGTGTGTATATATCTATAGTGTATATATAGTGTGTGTGTATGTATATATATATATATATTGTGTATATATATATATGTATATATATATATGTTTTTTTATGTATATAGTATATATATATATACAGTGTGTATATATATATATATTGTGTATACATATGTATATATAATATATAGTGTATACATATATATATATATATACATACTCTGATAGACCACGATGGACCAAGTTTTCCTGCTCTGTAATGTGCAAAAAACACAGCAATGCTGATGTCGATCCCTCCTCCTTTAGCACCGGAGATTGAGAGCAAAGCGACGCAATGTTTTCCTGTGAAACAAACTGGACGGGATGGGATGGGTGTCTGAAAATGTTGACTTAGTGTTGGAAAATGGTGACTTGGTAATGGATATATATATATTATCATATACATTATATATATATAATATGTAGTAGTAGTTAGTGAGGGAATATATCTAATGATTATGAATCCCATCCCCAATTGGTGGCCATGAACAAACGTCGCTGTCCGGGGGTCCACACCGCAAGGAGAGAGCCTAAGAGAAGTGGGACATGCTGATGGAAAGGGCCGGTCACTTGTCCTGCTGTCCGTGAAGGTACCTTCAATTGAAACGATAGCAACAACAACAACAAAAGTAACAGCAAACTTCACACTTCTGATATTTAGGTTTCGATTGCAAAGCCCATTGTTGCACTGTTGCACACCGGACCAGTGGTAACCCCCGTTTCGAACCAAAACTTGCAGTGCTGCACCTCCTTTTCGCCTTCCAGAGCTAGGGTTGGCACCTGTGGCAGTGGCCGCTCAGTTTTCAGTGTCAACGAAGCTGGCTTCGCGGCTACAACCGCTGAAGCATCATGTAAGGGCCAAGAATGGATTAAATCTGAATATATCTGAATCATATGCAAAGACATCCAAGTGGGAAGCTTCTTCCCAAAACCCGCAAAAGGAGCACTGGATGTGGCCTTTGGTGCTCCTGCTCTTGCTGGGCACGCTTGTAAAATCAAAACCATTACCTCAGCGGAATTCGACTGAGCTGCTACGTCTGCTACGTGGGTAGTTTGTTGAATTCTTGACACTAGCCGATTTATGGTTCTTTTCTGAAATGGGGGACCCAACGTGCCGCTTCGAGGTTCTTCTGGATGATTGTGGGGTCCATTTTAGGAAATCCCCATGTGGTCTTCAGGCAAATTTTGTTCAATCATTGGGGACTTTGTTTCGATCAAACCATGTCACACACCTTCACAATTTACCCACACAGAGTTTTCTCAAATTTTGAAGCCCCATTCAATACCCTCTGGTAAACTAACATAACTATGGGAAATCACCATTTTTAATGGGTAAATCAACTATAAATGGCTATTTTTCAATAGCTATGTTTGTTTACCCATGAGTTGTTGTCAATTT